TTGTGGGGTTGACGCCGAGCGGCCTCCTGCCGCTTGTTGCCTCAAGTTGTGTGTGTCTCTCTCTGTCACTCTGTGTGTGTGTCTCTCTGGCTCTCTGTTGGCTCTCTCTCTCTCTTGTCTCTATTTGGGTGGTTTTAGCGCCATCCCCCCCTGCGAACAATGCCCCGTCCTGTCGAGAGGGCGTGTGTTGAATGATCTAGCCACCAAATTAAGTATCCCCCCCCCCCCTGCAATCACGAACCACCTTCCCTCTGCAATCACGAACCAGTGCGACCACGGCGGGACTGTCACCCGCGGATAGCGCCAGCATCGCCGAGCTCTTGCAGTCTTCCCCCCTCGCCCCCCGCCTCCCGCCAGCCCCCTCGGCCGCAATGGCCGCGTTTGCCGCCGCAGCGCTCGGGGACGCCGCGGGAGGTGGGGGGGGTAGGGGGGGTGCCGGTGATCTCGGCGTGATGACCCCACCCCCTCCCGGCGGTGGCGCTGGGATGGCGGGGGACGAGGACGACGACAAGGTCGGCGGCGGAACGCCGGAGACTGTGCTTGCCGAGATTAACGAGCTCAGGTGGGTAGGGGCATTCGCGCGTGTGTGTGTTTTTTTTTATTATTAGCATCGACCGCGCTAACCGGCTGACCAATGAAAAGACGTCAGTCTCAGTGCGGTTGAAAACACAGCATGCTTCGAAAGGCCACGATCTGGGACCCCGCGAGGGGGCGTCATATGGCGTGTGTTCGTGTGTGTTTTGTTAGCATGGAGCCGCGCCAACCCGCTGGCCAATGAAAAAGACGTCGGTGCCAGCGGGTGAGATCGAGGTCCTTGATTGTTTTAATCGACCGCGCTGACCGGCTGACCAATGAAAATGACGTCAGTCGGTGCGGCTGAAAACAGAAACCGCGTGTCATGTGTTGATGTGTTTTAGTGTTTCAGCACAGAGCGGGGTTGGTTGCACGTGCACTTTTATGGCAGGTGCTGGGTGCTTAGGAGAAGGGGGGTGATGGAGACGACGACAGAAGTCGTGGCGGGGGTGAAGTTACCCCGAGGGATCCTCTGAGGAGAACGCGGAGAATATTAGATTTGAGGAGGAGGGGGGGGGGGGGGCACTTCTTATGTTTTTCATGCCGTAGCGGTTAGACCATTGACGGCGCGTCCTCGAGAGGACGTAGTGGGATGTCCTCTGGGTTGCTTGTTCCTTGTTGATACAGATAAATCAGTGTTTGGGTACAAACATCTCGGCGTTTGTTTTTTTCGCTACCGGGGGGGGTGGTGGCGTGTGCGCAGGGCTGACCCCAAGGGGTACGCCACCAAGCTGGAGGCTCTGGAGGAGTTCTACGACAAGGGCATGTACCAGTCTCCTACCGGTGAGAGGGCTTTCTCGACAGTCTCCTTCCTGCTGTGGTTGATGTTGCTTGTTGGCACCGGCGGTGGTATTAAGTGGTACGATCTGAAACCATATCAAAGCTGTTGGACCTAGCGAGTTTCATGGCGATGCGCACTGCTGGATTGTCAGCATGGTTTTTAATTCTGGAGTTTCTATGCCGGCGCAGCAAATGAAACTAGGCTGTGCCGTGATGCAGAGGATGCGAATCCCCTTGTCGAATCCTCAGACCGTAAGTATTTTCTGAACATATTTTTCAGCCTTGATTTTTTTTTGGAAACAACAGAGAGCTTGAGCGTTCCACGAGTTTGCGCCTCAACAATACTTTGGTGTAGCCTCCCCCCCCCCCCAAACAGCAAGAAATGCATTTATTTTCGGGCGAACCGGCTTCAACAACAACAGTTACTTTTGTCTAGCCTCCCCCAGCATAAAGAAACACATTGGACGAAATGCTTGACACACGGGGATGTGCCCATGTCTTCATTATTTGCATCGACCGCGCCAACCGGCTGGCCAATGAAAAGACGCCAGTCTCAGTGCGGTTGAAAACACAAAACACAAAACACTTATAAGAGATGAGATGTGTGTGTATGCTTGTGCAGGCCCTCCGGTTCAGACGACGGAGGGTGTGAAACCGCTTTTGGAGGTGGTGGCGATGCTTAAGACCACCGAGGCTCTGGCGCCCTTGGAGAGCAAGGAGGGGATGCAGCAGGCGGCAGCCGATCACGTCAAGTCAGTTGTTGTTGTTGTTGCAATGTTGTTGACGCTGTTGCTGTTGTTGTTGTTGTTGCTGTTGTTGCTGTTGTTGTTGTTGTTGTTGGCGTTGTTGTTTTTGCTGCTGTCGCAGTAGTTGGTGTTGAAGTACACCAGACCTGGTGCTGCTGCTGGTTCTGGTGCGGCTGCACGTTCGATGGTTTGTCTTCGTTGCGTACATTGCGGCAGCACGGAAAAATAAAAATAAGGCACACACACGGCGACTACATGGCGATCGATGTACATACACGCTCGCCTTTCCGTGGTTTCATGACAAGCTTAGGCTTTGCGTTCTATTGTTGTTGCCCCCGCTTCTACCGCACGACACAGGGACCTCGCGGAAACAAGCAGAACCGGGCACTCCGGCTCTGACGGCAGCGGCGCGGCGGATCGCATGAACCGCTACGGCCAGTTTTTCCAGGTGGGTGGAATCGACCCGTTTCTCCTCTTGTTGTTGTGCTTCTTTTACTTTTGGCTGTTGTTGTGGCGATTGTTGGTGTCGTCTTTGTTGTTGTTGCTGGTGTCGTCTTGTCATCGTTTGTGTTGGTGATGGTGTTGGTTGGTGTTGTTGAAGTCGCTACCGTTGTTCCTCTGGGTGGTGTTGCTATTGTGCGTGCGTTTTTCTTCGCCATATACCGTTGCCGTGCTCGAAACCAGAGAATACCCTAGGCTTGACCCCCCCCCCTCACGTGCCCCCAGATGATGTCCTCTCCACAAGCGTTTTCAGCCGCACTGGGACGGACGTCTTTTCATTGGTCAGCCGGTTTGCGCACCAAACAAAAGAGAGACACACGGCAATGAGCGAGCTTGGATAAGACCGTTTTTTTTTCTTCCCATGTTGGCCTCCAAGCTACTCGATCTGACGGCGGTGTATGTGTGCAAGCCTGAAAAGTTCTGCCGACTCTTTTCGCGGACTCCTCCTCACACTTGCACCCGCTCGACCACCCAGATCGACTGCTGTCTCACGACCCCCACCCTCGACGCGAAAACGCCATCCATCCATCCATCAGGTGGCCTGAGAAGTATGCACGTACCGCGGCGCCTGTAAAGCGCTGCCAGCTCTGATATTTATTCTTCGCCGCTCCTTACACTCGAACCCTTTCGATCACCCTCGTATCGACTGTCTCGCGACTACCATCCATCCATCCATCCATCCATCCATCCATCAGGTGGCCGGAGAAGGTGCACGTACTTCGACGCCTAAATACCAAAAGCGCTGCCATCTCTTTTCGCGGCCCCTCCTCACACTTTCGATCACCCTCGTATCGACTCTCTCGCGACTACCATCCATCCACCCATCCATCCATCAGGTGGCCGGAGAAGTGTGCACATACTTCGACGCCACGGCGGAGGGCATCGTGGCGCAGCTGCTCGTTTCCGACGGGGAGAGATCGAGGCATAACCGCAAGGCCCTCTTGGCAGCGCACTTCAAGGTCGATACTCTTTTTCTTTTTCTTTTTCTTTTTTTTTCTTACAAATGACACAACTTTTCCATCTCTTCCACAGAGAAAAGTCCGTGATAGCTTGGAAGTGAAGGAGGGCTTGGAATCGTTGGCATCATGGGTATAGGTAGATTTTTCGCATTGGGGGTGGGGTAGACTTGATGGATGCGACGCCATGTTTTTTGGGTCGATATATTGATATTGTTGGTTTTGCGTGGCTTAAAGGCGTGGTGGATGCAACGCCCTACATCTTGGTTGACATGTGGTCCACGAATGCCCGTCGCCTCCGTTGGCCCAGTTCTGTAGACACGCAAAAAATGTACTTCTAGGCCATCGTCGAAACACCACATGGCGATGTGTACGCTTGGGTCATGAGTATCCTGCCCTCCCGCTCTCTTGAATGATGACACGTACCCCCGCTGCAACCAAAATCGTCTCAAAGGTCTGCGGGATCGCTATCGGCACCGACCCCTACCTCCCTATTTATTGATGGCACGTATCCCCCTGCACCACAGCGTCGCTATCGGCACCGACCCCCCAATGGAATGATTACACATACCCCCCCGCAGGTCTGTGGCATCACCATCGGCACCCACCCCACCGTGGGAGCTACGTGCGTGATCACTCGTACAACCCCCCC